AATTTCTGACATTTTGACTTTGTCAGATAAATTGGATTCTATTTGCTGGCCTAATGATGTAATTCTGCATTCTTTTGTCCAGACTACTTTAAAAATTTACTAGGTAGCAAAAAATTTTTATTACGTAGTTAAAGATAAGGATATAAAGTAGAAAGAGTGTGAAACCACGCAGGCCCGCCTGGGGAACGTGGCTCAGGGGCTTGGCTGTTCCATGGCTTTGGACAACTCACTTGGCCTCTTTTGGACCTTCTGGCTCTCATTTTTGTCTAGAGACATGGATTTTTATCCTCATCCTTTGACTGCTTTCTGAAATAGTATTTCTGACTCATTTCAAAGAAGTACAAATCAGTGTACTTTACAAAGAAATGAACGTGAAACTTAAGCACACGTAGAGCGGGGTAGGACACGGTCCCAAGCTTTATGGCCAGCAGCTTGCCAGTGGCTGCCCACAGTAACCACTGTCCCCACATATATATGGAAGCAGGAAAAGGTGGACCGCGTAATCCTCAGGGATCAGCACCTCGGGCGTGGATGGTGATAGAGGCGGGGTTCTGGCCCTCTAATCCGTTCCCAGGAGGGCATGCGCTACTGAAGTAGTGGAACCGATCAAGCAAGAACAGTGGGCAGCAGCTTGAGAATGGCTTGCTTTTCACAATATCACTGTGTAATAGTGTGTTACTGAAGCTTAAAGCCTAAAATGAGTTAATAGCCTCATTCACCTGTGTACCTAAGATCTAATTTCTCTCTTCCCAGGATTTTATTTTTATTTTTATATTTTGTATTTTAGGGAAGGGTCTCCAGGGTGTTCAGGGTCTCACTACTAGATCACACTCATAGTGATTCTCCTGTTTACAGCCTCCCAAGAGCTGGGATTACAGGCTTGCGCCACCACGCCCAGTCTCAATTGCCATCTCAGTGTGCCCCACGAGCGGGGCTTGCATGGCAGGCCCGGGGATTGAACCCCCGGCCCCTGTGCCTGTTTTCAGGCACTTTAATCCACTGAGCTATTTGGCTGGCTCTTCCACAGGATTTTAGATGTAGGTTCCCTTGTAGTTTTCCGGGTAAATACCCATTTCCCAACATCTCTCAAGCCTATTCAAGGAGAACATGTGAAGTCTTTCCTACTTGAAATCATAAATACTACCATATAATTCCTGAATGCCTTCAACGTCATCCCACGCCAGCTGGAAACGTTCGAGATCTCCGCTTCCATATGTCGGGTACATCACAGCGTTGGGGTTAGCCGAGTGACCCAGCCCCAGAGAGTGCCCGAGTTCATGAGTCGCAGTGTATAGGAAGTTGATTCCTGCAACCGAAGAAGTGACAGATTGTGACTACTGAACTAACTGTAAAATATCTATAACAGTGCATGATGTGACAAAGAGAAGAGCAACTATGAGGGTATCTAACATTCAACCTACTGTAGTTTATTTCTGGGCCTTCGAAAGTACAGAGGGGCTAAAGGGAGAATCAAAAGTTCTGCTTATTAAAAGCTGTTTTTTTTTTGTGGGGGCAGTTTTTTTCTTGTCTAGTCACTCCAGCAGTAATATTGTGCAAAGCAAAGACTAGCTGGAAATTTTTGGCAAATTAATTGATATTGCTAAGCCTTAGTTTCTTTTCTGTTTTGTCTTTTTGAGACAAGGTCTCACTGCAGTTCATGATGACCTTGAACTCACTTTGTAGCCCAGGCTGACCTCAAACTTCAGCAATCCTCCTGCCTCAGCTTCCTGAATGCTGGGATTACAGATGTGCCCCACCATGCCTGGCCTTAGCTCCTTACCTATTAAACAAAGATAGTAATTTCTACTCTGTAGAATTTCCTAGTATCTGCAAAATAATGGCTAGTCAATAAATGGTTATGAATTTGAATGTCAGGAGAGAGAAAGCCAATGTTGAGAAAGCCAGATCAAAAGGCAAGAAGGTGTCCAGGCAATGCTGATATTTGTTTTTGTTTTTGATTTTCAGTATAAAATAGTGTGTGTGTGTGTGTGTGTGTGTGTGTGTGTGTGAGTTGTGATAAAATATGTGGTGACTGTGTAACTACAAAATGTATTACTGTAAAAGACACTTTGCCATTAATTTCCCTCACAATACGCGCCTCGCTTTGAGCACACCTGTCCCCAGTTCTTGCCATGCTTGGGAGCAGCTCTGGAAGCACCCTTTGGGAGTGTCTTCAGGAGCCGTCGGCCAAGCAGTTGGCCGCTGTACGTGAGCCAGCAGAAAGGCAGGCCATTTAAACATCAAGGTGTGTGCAATGCGTCCTCAGTCTCCTTATCTATTTATTTTTTTCATTTTTGTATTTGGTACAGGGTCTCACTACGCAGATCAGACTCGTGGTGATCCTCCTGTTTTCAGCCTCCCCAGTGCTGGGATTACAGGCATGAGCCACCACACTCACCCACACTGTCACCGGCTCAGCATGCTCTGTGGGCGGGACCGGCAGACGTGCGGGATCAGGGATAGAACCCGGGTCCCCGCGCTTGCCGAAGCAGGTGCTTAGTCTGCTGAGCTATCTCGCTGGCCCTCAGCCCCTATTCATAGGCTCTAGCACTGTGTAACGTCTGTTTTTATCCCACACTCAAGATGACGTGAAAGGTCAGTGCTTAGAATTGATTCCGAACATTGAGGTGGCTGCAGTAGCACAAGTAAACATACCCATGGAGGTGGCAAGAACGGCGAGGCAAGCGTGTTGAGTCGAAGGGGAGTGCTGTGAGGGGAATTAGTGGCAATGCGTAATCTAGTTTAATAAATTAAAAAATGTAGACATTCATTTATTTTTCAATTGCATCCTGCATCTTTGAAGAAGTTCATCTTTTCTTCTTCACACATGCAGAAAGGCTTTGTAAGTACCGAGGAAATTGTGAGCCTGTGCGTTTTCAGGAATCACCAGAACTTCAGTGGTGCTGCGCTGGACTGATGGAAGCTACCTCTAATCTATCTCCAGTGGGAAGAAAAAATGAACAACATATACATGGTGTGAGAAGGAGACAGCCTCTCTACGTCACGTAGGTCAGGCTTTCACCACTTGGTTTGAACTACTTGGTTCCGTTTGCCAAACACAAGTACTAATTTCACAGCTGGGCAATAGCTCATTAAAAAAAAAAGTATTATATCCAGTTAGGATGATTTATGCCAGAGCTGTACTCCATTAACTGAGCTAGTCCTATTAAAAAGAGAGTAAATAATTTTTAGTTCTTGTTCATTGTCTTTTTGGTGTTGTTGTTGTTTGTTTCAAAAATCTACATCTTTTACCTCTGGTTTTTGTGGATTCAAATGCTAATTTGAAAACAATAAATTATAGAAGCACTTAATAAGAGTAGGGGCCAGTGAAGAGAGAATTTATTATTTTAATGAAATACTAGCATGCTATTTTGCCAGCTGAAGAGAAAACCCCTCAGTTCTAATACTTTACTTATTTTGGTACCAGAAATTGAACTCAGGGCCTTGTGCTTGGCAGGCAAACACTGTGCTGCTGAGCTATGTCTCTCTCTGTTATGTCTATAATCTCCTACTTTGTAAAGTGATGGATATGGGTTGGGGTAGGTTTTAACAGTAGCAAATAATTCCAGAAGTACATATTCTTCTTAAATATTACAGTCTCTAGTTTCTTCTTTGTTTTCCATTCGACACACTTATTTTTGGGAAATATGAAGAGAGAGTAATAATTTGCTGAATTGTTAATACATTCCAAGCACCGTGCTAAGCACCATGTAAGCTGTTATCTCATTTAATGGAAACATCACTTCAGGCAGAAACTTCCTGTTCTCCCTTCCCAGAGAAGAAACTGAGGCTGTAAGAGTTAAAGGATGGAGCACATCCAGAGAGCAGCCGGTAGAGACACAGGGAACCGAACCCAGCGCGGCTCTGTGGGCTGCGTTCATAACAAGCGAATAAGGTTATAGCCTTTCCAGCACATAGGGCGGCGGTTGGCACCGGAAGCCTTGGTAGGTATTGTGAATTAAATGAATAGCACGAGTTTGGGATCGTACAGGATGCGGAGGAGAAGCCGGGGGTGCCGTACCTAGGCTGCTGCCGTCGGTCCAGAGCTCGTCCTGGTCGAAGTGGGCATCTCCGCCCAGGCCGGGCCCAGGCGGGAAGGCGTGAGCCAGCACGTTTCCGGGTCCATCAAACGGGTTTAAGTCTCCGTGAGCTGCGAGAAGATGGGACCGTTTTCTGTAGTGGCTGACTTTTTCAGTAGGTGATCCATCTTTATATTTTATACGGTTACTAAGGCTGGAAAGAACAGCGCTGACCAGAGACTGCCTTGTTCGCCTTCGCTAGGAGCCCTGCTCGGGACGCGTAACTGCCGTGTCCCGCAGGCTCCCTACCCGCTGTCTTAGGACCACTTCCCGGTGGGCTGCAGCTGCGATCGAGTCTACAAAGCTTGAACTGCTTGCTGTTGGAGCCTTTGTAGAAAAATCTGACCAGCCCCGAGTCTGTAGCGTGAATCATTACTTATATAATTTTATATATAGATACGTCAGTTTAACATGAGCTAGCTAATATCAACTTTAAAGTAAGAGCCAGGGTTACAGCTTTTTGAATGACTCCCAGTAGGTGAGAGTCTCTATGGCCTGTTGTTAAGGTCTCTCATGTAGTGAGAAAATAGCAGCAGAGACTCTTATATTAAGGAGCTCGTAGCTGTACCGCAGCAGTGCACAGGCTGCTCCTAATTGCTAGGGTTTCATGGTGCAGCTCGAGGGGGCCAATGCTTTCCATTATGTTCTACTCTAATGCTGAGCTGCCTGGGCGTTGTGAATTGAGCCAAAACTTGAACTTGACCCCATGATGTCAGCAGCACTGAAGAACACGCTACGGGAAGCATGAATAGCAACACTACCAGATTTTCAAGTATTAGATAAACTGAATACAACATGATACCCACCTAAAGATAAGTAGTTTTGCATTGCAAATGAAAGGACTACTAAAACCCATTTTAAGAGACTTTGATGGGAGCTGGCAAGCTAGCTCAGTGGACTAAGTGCCTGCTTAGGCAAGTGCAGGCACTGCAGTACGATCCCCGGCACCACATGCCACCCCAGCCCCACCGCCAGAGCAGGCTGAACAGGCCTGTGTTCCATGAAACGTAATACGCTTTCCAAAGCAGACAACACTGATACAAACAACAATCACATGGCGCACGCCGCGCAGCCCTCAGGAATCACCCTCACCTCCTCTCGCGAAGCCAATCTCTATATCAGCTGTTCCAAACCTAATTCTCCTGAAGCTCAGTGGGATCTCCTTGCTCCACAGGCTTAAAGCTTTTGCCACTATTTCATCCACTTTGGCACGTGGCAAGTCTGAAGTATATGATACAATTCTAGGAGTGGACAAGAAAACAGTAGTTATTCTCCTAGTAAAGAGGCTTTGTTGTTTTTGTTAATTTAGCCAAAGCAAAACTAACCTGTATGTAACTACTTTGGAAGTCCATTTCGGCTTATTTGCGAATAGTGAATATTGTGCAACATCTGGCACGCCGCATCTGGGCTTCTGCATTATTTCTATGATGCGAGAGTTTAACTTTCCAGTGACAGGTAGATGGAAGAATTTCTCCATTTCCTGGAGCTTGTCTCTGAAACTGTTGGCATCCTTTCTTTTTGAGTCAAGAAGATAAAATCTCATGAGATAGTCCTGTTAACAAGAAAGTACATAACCTGCAGTTCTTGTTTATTGTCTTTTTATTTCAGAAGTCTATACATCTTTTGTCTCTGGTGCTGGTGGATTCAAACACTGCTCTGAAAATGGGCTAATTATATAGTCACTTAATAGAATCAGTATGCACTGGTAAAGAGAAAATTTAATATAGTTCATGAAGTACTAGCATGCTATTTCATAAGCTAAGAAGAAGAACCCCTCCATTTCTCTCTCTCTTTGTTAACCCATTAAATTTATTGATGAGAAACATGCTGTGCACTTTACACAGCCAGGACTTGTTCTCAGAACAAGCAGGAAGAGCGTCCCAGGGCAACTTGAAGAGCCACCTCAAGACTCCCTTGGTGATAAAAATCTTTCCAAAGGACCTTAGCACAAACCTTCCTTTGTGGTGATCTGAGACGCTAATAGTGTGACTGACTCGCAGGCTCTCGCCTTCCCCTACTGTCCCGTTCCCCTCCATCCTGTCTTCTCGTACCCTGAGCAACTACTTTAAAGATAACAACATGTAATGTGTTAACTATTGTTATTCTCCTATTATTTTGTTGTGAAATTTTGTTTTATCTTTTTTTCCATAAAAAATATCTTTGGAAAAAAAGACTCCCTTAGGGTTGCAGGCCTGTGTGGAGACCTGAAGCCCAACGGCCCATCTGAGATCCTGCTGAGCAGACTTAACCCCTCGGACTGGGAAGGCACATGGGGACATGGTAGCTTAATTAGTTTGAACTATGTAGGCGAGGAAGCAAAGCTCCCATCCTCCAAATGGTCTGCTGGATTCATCTATGAAGGTAGTAGAACTCACTGTCCATTTCCTGACTCCAAGTTTTCTTTTCTTTCTCTCTGCCTTTTCCAACCCCAGGTCCTCTGTTCGCCCTTAAATACCCAGTGAAACCGCTTCTGGAAGAGGCAGAGTAAAGCGGTCTTCCCATGCCTATTCCATGCACAAGTGCATCCTGGAGACTTTCCTAGAGTTTCGTAGTATCTCAAGATGAGAATGAGAACCCAACAGTTACAATACACAAAAACAAGTTAAGAGCTAATAACTGCTGCAAAATAATAAGAAAAATTTAAAACCACATACTAGTGTTGGGTAATTACATATTTCTTTCAACCATTTTGTGAAGCAGCTATGGCATTGCTACTTGTATGTATGTATGTATGTATGTATGTATGTATACATGCATGTATGCATGTATGTATTTACTTTTGGTACCAGGAATCAAACTCATGACTTCACACTTGACAGGCAAGTGCTGTGAGGCTGAGCTGTGTCCCCGCCTGCAACTTCTGTTTTATATAAAGAAATATGACTGAACACAGTGAAATAACTCACAAGGTCATCTACAAAACACTTATATTCTGATCTAAAGTCATTTTATTAGAAAAATGTATAGGCATATTGCTGGCCCATATAATGCATGACATATAGGTGAAATGATGTAACTATTGGCTCATGAATTTGCATGTCAGGATGACATATTTTGCATATATAACCTTGTAATAATATGTCTTTTCTATTTGTTACCAATAATTACATTTCACTCAATACAAGAAATACTTTTTTTTTTGGCACTGGGGATTGAACTCAGGACCTTGCACTTGCCAGGCATGTGCTTACACCACTGAACTCTCTCTCCGGCCCTACAGCAAACACTTACTGTCTATCTATGACAATTACAAATTAACTGCTTATTTAAAAAAAAAATAGCTGACTTGATTCCTTCCAGAGCAACAGATTTTACAAAGAAATGGAAGAAACATCTCTGCGTCCTTGAGATGACCTTCCCTGTCTTTCCTTAAGCCGGAGGAGGCTTCCTAGCTAGTGGCAATCTGCAGACTACGCAAAGGGGCGCAGCACTCTCACTGTTGTCCTACTGGAGGACCCACTAGTAATGTGAAAATCACGGCGTGGGATGCATAAAACAGTTAAATATTGGTAACTTCATATAGTTCAATCAATATGATATTGAACCTTTTAAAAATCCAAGATAGTGTGCAATAAAAATTGATTTTTCTCATACTTAAACCTTAAAATTATACATAATACTTAGGGATAATCACCTCATTGTTCTACAAAAGAATTTTTTATATGCATTAGATCATTTATTATGTATTGGAAAAGATAAAAACTGTATTTTAGAGTTAGAAAAACCGGTTGTTGGTTCTTCTCTCTACCACTTAGAAGAAGGAAAGCCATCAGCTTCCATTTCTTCTTTGTTTTCCTTAGGAGAGAGTTAAAGAGTAAACGCCACGGGTCAGAGGCACGTTCGGGTCAGTAACTGTTAACATGCACATTAGGTGACACCATCGAGTTGGTCACCAGAATAATCCCACGGGGTACAAAGCACAGATTACAGCTACAGAATGCGTGAGAAGACAAATTCAGAAGTTCAGTTTTGGGCTCACATCATTGACCTGTGGCAAGGCTGCGGCTTCTGGCCATCGTTTCCGCCTTCCGATCTCTCCAGCACAAGTAGCGCTCTTCTTAAGAGCCCACGTAGGAAAAGAATTCCACGTTAGAATAAATAATAAAACTTCAGTTTATTGTGTGTGAGTGACGTGCAGGCAGTGTGTTGAGCGCCTCACACCCCATCTGGTGACATTATTACTATTATTATTATTAATTATTATTGGTGAACCAGGGATTGAACTCGGGGCCTTGTGCTTGCCAGGCAAGCGCTTATTCTACTGAGCCATCTCCCGGCCCCTGACATCATTATTATCTTCAAGTTCCAAATTGGAAAACTGAAGATCAGAGATGCTTAAGCGGATTTGCGGAGAGGCCCGAAAGCCGGCTCTCAGGGGCTGGCTGCCCAGAGCACGATCGCCTGGGCGAGCAGAAGCGCAGGGACCAGCAGTCGTCGCCAGCCTAGCAGAGGAGGAGAAGACGACCGACCGAAACACGCAGCTCTAGCGGGGCAGGTGGGGCCACCCGGCCCCAGGCCACCTACCTGAGCCTGTTCCCGTGGCAGCTCCCTCGTGCTCTCCGCCTCCGGGGGCAGCGGCAGGGCCAGGCAGCTGGGCAGCAGGCCCACGGCCCACAGCAGGGACAGCAGCATCGCGGGCGTCAGCCACGGCGGCTCTCAGGGCTGCGATGGGGTTGAGACTGAACGCTAGAGGCCGGAGAAATTTATAGCTTCTCAGCCCCGAATGTGGATAGGTGACTCATGAGTGCTTTCTTTCTTTTTTAGAAAGTATGTATTATTTTTCATTAACAGCAATGAGGAAGTTGTGTCCCTTATTGGCAGGAAGCACCCAGTATATTTATCTTACAAAGGACTTTTTTTTTTTTTTTTAACGTCTGCTGTTTAAATCCATGAGCAACATATTTATATGTCAGAGTCAAATTGCTATGATAAGTCTTTACACTTTAAAAGTTTTGGGGTACATCACTTGGGACATTATTGTGTTAGGTATTTTTGAAGCATTTTTCTAAAAATTGAAATAAGTAGAAAAGTAAAAATTACAAATATTATTAAACAAATGCAGTAACAGCCAGCAAAGTCAAAACAGAACAACACCTTCATCCTGTGGTATGAGAGAGAAGGTGATAGGAGGGACAGATGGGCAAACAGCTGTGCTGTGTCACTTCACCTGCCGGGCACCTCAGCCAAGCCGGGAAAATTCCCTTTGCGAAGTGCCCCTTAAGCAAGTCATTTCTTTTCTTTATTGATTCTTTTTGTTTGTTTGTTTTTATTTAGATGGAACCGGGGATTGAACTCAGGCCCTTGAGCTTGCCAGGGAAGCACTTATTCCACTGAGCTATCTCCCCAAACTATTTCTTTATTGATTCTTTTTGTTTGTATGTTTAGAAAAAGTCCAAGTTTCAAGTCTTTTTTTTTTTTCGGAACCGGGGTCAACGCTGCTCTTAACTTTTCTTGAATTGCATAAAAAACACTAAACAAAACTTCTCAAGCCTGGGCTTCACTTGCTCATGAGCTACCCAACCCACGGCGGCAGATCTCTCCAAAGCTGGACGTCCATGGGGAGATCATCGCTTTACCTGGTCTTTCTCTTCCAATCACTCTGCCTCCGCCTGGTACCCAGCTACGGGAAACGCTGTGTTGGTCGTCAGTATGTGCAGAAGTTAGAGTACACAGATCAAGTAAAAGCCCAGTATGTAGAGATTCTAGCTCAGCTAGTTCACTGAGCCAAGATTGAGAGGAGATTAGCTTGGTTCTCTAAGGTCACGGCTAGTTAATAGTGGCTGAGCTGTGCTTTTCTGTCCTATCACACAGACTATTTATTGGAAATATGTCTACTTCTTCACTGTATTATCTATTTCTTGAGGGAACATCAGGGCTTATAACTGCAAGGCCTGATGGGAGACACGACAGATATGCTGGAGCTTAAACATTATTTAGATATCTTTTTTTTTCTCTGTATTTTAGGGAAGGGTCTGCAGGGTGTTCAGGGTCTCACTACTAGATTGGACTTGTAGCGATTCTCCTCTTTACAGCCTCCCAGGTGCTGGGATTACAGGTGTGCTCCATCACGCCCAGTCTCAATTGCCATCTCAGTGCACCCCAGGGGTAGGGTTGGCATGGCAGGCTCAGAGGCCGGGAGTTTGATCCCCAGGCCTGCCTGTGCTGGCTCCGCCCCAGGGGCACGCTGAGACAGCCATTGAGGCTGGGCGTGGTGGCGCGCGCCTGTAATCCCAGCTCTTGGGAGGCTGTAAACAGGCGGATCACTATGAGTCTGATCTAGTAGTGAGACCCTGAACACCCTGGAGACTCTTCCCTAAAATACAGAAAACAAACCCACTAACCCAACCAGGTACCACTACTTGACATCCCCTTTGGAAAAGCCAGACTCCCGAGCACTGACAACACCAGATGCCTGCCATGCTGGCTGTTGGGAGCCCAAGATGGCAGTCATTTTGGAAGAGACTTGGCCATTTCTAACAAAATTAAACATCCCCATATCATATAATTCTGCAGTTGCCACCCTTGGTAGCTACTCAATGGAGATAAAGAATTTAGGTCTATACAAAAACCTATACAAATTACATTTATCCCATCTGTATTTGTAATCGCTAAAGCTTGTAAGCACCCAGGGTGCTTCTCGTAGACGAATGGATAAACCATCAGTGCTTCCAGCCAACGGAATATCACTCAGCAATAAAAAATGCATAAACTATTAAACCACGTAAAGAGACAGGATAATATTAAATGTGTGCAGCTAAGTGAACCAAGCCAATCTGAAAAGGCTGAGTACTATACAGTTCCAACCATATATAGTTCTAGAAAAGTGGACATTATAGAGATAACATAATGATCAGTTCTAAGGATAGGGTGGGATAAGGGGAGGTAGGGTTGGAATAGGCAAACGCGGAGGGCTCTTAGGGCAGTATAAATACTTCACCATTTTATAGTAGTGGGCACATGTGTCTCGACACTTGTCTAAACCTGTAGGATGCGCAACACCAAGAGCGAGCCCTACAAAAGCGAGCTATGGATGTGGGGAGGGGAGAGAAATATGGCAGGAGTAGAGAAGGTAGTCGGTGTTGGTGGAGTGGCGTGGAGCGTGTGGTGTAATGTTGGGTCTGGGTGTTGAAGGTGTGTCTGTGTGCTGGGCAACTTGAGCTTTATTCCAAGGAGAATGAAGACATGGTTTTTTTGGCAGGGTGGTGGGAACTGGGAATTGAACTCAGGACTTCATGCTGGCCAGACAGGCGCTGCACCGTTAACGTATCCCCAGCCCCCGGAGGTCTGTTTTTTTTTTTTTTCCCCTGGAACTGGGGATTGAACTCAGGCCCTTGCACTTGCCAGGGAAGCACTTATTCCACTGAGCCATCTGCCCAGCTCCTTAGAGGTCTGTTTTAAAGGAAGTGAGACAACCAGATCTGTAATGTAAGAAAATGCTGAAGGATGTTATGAATTTAAACGGGTTACACAAGGAGAGATGACTCCTGCAGAGGACTCTGGGAGACTGAAGGCCGAGCAGAAATCTACTGGAACCATCCTGGGGAGGGAGAACCAGGGCTTCAACAGACTGTGACCACAGGAATGGAAAAGAGGGAGTACATCCAGGGCACATGGAGGACTTCTGGGAAAAGCAAATTTAAACAAAACAAAACCTTGAGAGCTAGTTGGTTGAAGAGTGAGGAAGAAAGAATCTGAGAGGACCCAAGCTTCGCTGGTGGTGCTGCTATTGTGGATGTGGGGCTTGTGGGAGAAGGGACAAGGAGGGGCTTTTCTAATCCAACAGGAATTTAGTTGTGGTTGAAGAGTGACGTCAACGTTGGGCTTGAACTTGAGGTTTTAGCAACAGAAACTGGTGTCTAGATTTCACAAGAGTGACCTGGTCTGTAGATGTAGGTTATGGATGACTTTCTTTCTTTCTTTCTTTCTTTCTTTCTTTCTTTCTTTCTTTCTTTCTTTCTTTCTTTCTTGTGGAACTGGGGATTGAACTCAGGTCCTTGCACTTGCCAGGGAAGTGCTTATTCCACTGAGCCATCTCCCCGGCCTGACTTTCTTTAAAAGAAAGACAGCAATATTTTTATGGGGATATAAAAGATACATAATTAAAATTTACTAATCAGTTTTTTCTTTTTTTACATGTTTGTTGTCCTTTTTTTTTTTTTTTTTTTTTTATGGTACTGGGGATTGAACTCAAGACCCTGCACTTGCCAGGCAAGTGCTTATTCTACTGAGCTATCTCCCTGGCCCTGTTCATTTCTATATCTTCCGAGAAATGTCTCTTCAGGCCCTTTGATCATACTTTTGGTTAGGTTGATTTTTGTCTTTTGGTTGACACATTGTAGGAATTCTAGAGTTCCTTGTAACAGTAAATTCTAAACATTAAACCTTTATTAGAACCTGCTTCACAAATATTTTCTCTCATTTTATAGGCTGTCTTCACTTTCTACATAATGTCCTTTGGTGAACAAAAGTTTATACTTTTTAAAATAACTTTGATGATTTATTTATCCTTTGGTTGTTTATGCTTTTGAGGCACAACTGCCAAGAACCAACCACTGAATTCAAGGTCCTACAGGTTTGCCCTGTCTTTTTTCCTAAGAGCTTTATAGCTTTAGGTCTTACTTTAGGTCATAGAGTTACATGCTCTGCGTTTGATAACTTTTTTGTGCCTTTGATTTTCCCTTGCTATGCATGATTTCTGCTTCTAGGCTGGCGATCTGGCTAGACCATGTTAATCTGCTATCGTGTTAAAGGAAAACCATTCAGCCCTGTCGGTTTCTTCCTGTGCGACGGTGACAGAATATACCACTTCCTTAAAATTTGTCTTTCTCACTTGAAAAATGAGAATGGTCTTTTTCTCTTAGGGTTATGGTTAACGGACATAATTGAAGCTATAAAAGACTTAGCATTGTTTTGGGAGTGAAGAGAGAGGTTAATAAGCGGTCACTAGCAGCAATGCCATTGTTGTCATTATTACGATGTGACTTCTATACCGTAGCATTCTTTTTTCCCTTTTATGAGCCTGGCACAGAGATCAGACAAATACAGAACGAAAATAGAAGGCTGAAGGGGTTTTGTTCCAGTAATTTTACTGACACTCTGAAGGAATATGTGCTGTGACACACCAGGAAGCGGTATCTTAAATGTTACAGTGTGACATGTAAGAATGAACCAGGGGAGTCGCCTTCTCCTGGGATCTACTGCCTTTTTAAACAACGCACGCACAGATTGTTATCCGCACAACCTTTGGGTACAGGCATACACAGCGGGCCATGGGAAAAGTTCACAAAGAGAGACACGGGGCAAATCAGTGAGGACAAGTGCTGAATTTTAGTTTTAAATCCATGGAACTGGGGGCTTGCTGGTTAGCTCAGTTGTTTAAAGTGCCTGCTTGGGCAAACTCAGTCAGGTGCAGGGGACTGTGGTTCAATCCCCAGCTCCACAAGCTGCACCAGACCTGCCCTTAAGGCAGCCTGAGCTAGCAAAAAAAAAAAAAAAAAAATTCAATTTTTAAGACTGGGCATGGTATCGCGTGCCTATAATCCCATCTCTTTGGGAGGATGAAAACAAGAGGATTACTACTAGTCTGATCTATGTAGTGAGACCCTGTAGACTCTTACTAAAAAATAAATAAGTAAATAAATAAACCTATGGAACTAGTAAGAGGCACCACTTTAACTTCAAAGGCTGAGTTTT